TTTATATATATATATATATATATATATATATATATATATATATATATATATATATATATATATATATATATATATATATATATATATATATATATATATATATATATATATATATATAGTGTAGATAAACCAACCACATTCCTGTAATATGCTTAACTTGAAGCTCTCGCAGAAAACTCCTAATTCATCTTTATTAAATTAACTTTTAAAGGGAGAAGGCAATAAAAATTAACTTTGTCTTATTTGAAAGAAGTTTTAAAGTTATATATGAAAACCCTTTAATTTTCGTATCTTGCTTGGTTTTCGAAATATTTTGACAAAAATAGTGTTTTTGATGACATCAAAAGCAGGGTGAAAACAATACTGTAAAACTTCTTCATGTGAGACTAAATTTCTTGAAAAGTTTCTTAAAATGTTGTGAGTTAATTGTAAAGGAAGTTTATATATCATTTTAAATTAGTTCTTTGAAATAAGACAAACTTAATTGATATTGCCATATCCCTTTAACCCATCATTAGACGACCTAATGCGACTGCACGCAGGCTGTCTTTGACCCACACGCAACCTCCATCTCAACATCAACTCGCGATGATAATATAACCACCCACTTTCCATATGGCAACCAGTGACAACGATCCATCCAACGAAATCCATCAACCAATCAGGCGTTCCCAAAGGGCTCAAAATTGCCCGACGGTCATGAAGTTGGAGTATTTATTTATCGAACATTTATTTTCGTCCATCGAGAACTTTCGCGAAACTATTATACAGACACTTTATAGTAACTTCAAATCATTCAGTTTTCTATGAAATACAATCCTGGACGAGGAAATTATTGGGCGGGGGGAGGGGGGATATATATTGAAGATTTGTAATACATGCATATTAACGAGGCCCGCGCGCGAATAACTATCTACAAATGTAAATAAACCAGTAATTTCAATGTGTACAAGCGTTGTCATAATTATATTGTTAAGACTTTAACCATTGCAAGAATGGTACTGATTAGGACCACTATATTATCAAAATGATATTTTATTTAGACATGATAACCAAGGTGTGGTTTTATAAGTTAAAGGCCTTATTATATAGTGTGCTTCATAATAAGTGGGCGTTTTCCATAAAAGATCTGGCCTATCTGCCTCGTCTCCAGGCGCTACTGAAAAAAATTTCATGCGAGTCACTATATGAAAGGTTTACATGAAGTAGTGCATCGCGACGAACAAGCGCAGGGCACTGAGCTACACGCGTAAAATTTGAGAAAATCAACAACTTGTTACAGGTTGATATCAAGTATTATCAACAGGCGTGAACAAAGTTGTGCGGCCCACTATGAACAGTATTGTCAACATGTTGTTACAACATTGTTCAACTGGAACAACATGGTTGACAACTTGTTCATAGTTGGCCGTACAACATTGTTCACGCCTGTCGATATCAACTTGGAACAACCTGTGCGTTTTTAGCCGTGTATAGTGTATACCAGGGTCTCATCGTGTTAATGAAAAGCGCCCTTTAGGATTTGGGAAGAGGTTATTTCGCTGGCCTCAGAGTGACAAAACGTAACAAAGAAACGCTTTTACTAACACTAACCCTATTCCAAACACTAATCCTAGCCCTAACCATAATCCCAACCCTAACCCTAACCCTACTCCAAGTTTGTTTCTAAATCAATCATGAAGAAAATTTTTTTGACGAATGTCATTCTTAAGTCAGCGAAATAACTTTTCCCTAGGATTTGTGCACGTTGAAGTACAGTTCAATATCAAACAAAGCTCTTTTGTGGCTGTGCCGGGCTCCCAAATCATCATATCTTGACAGATTCCATTATGTATCTAATAAGTCACAAAACACCTGTGATCACTCTACTCGCTGACTCATGATGCATGGATTATTTGAATATATTAAAATCATGACACAGCAAGATACGATGTAAACAGCCTCACATGACGCGCATGTTATTTCAACTCAAAATTTGTGTTTGCGGTCAAGCCATGACGTTAACCGATTACTGAAATGCGCCATTATTTTGGACTGGCGAGTGGCGACTGAAAATATATCCTAATTGAAACTGACAAACGAGAAAAAAAGCAATTTAGCTGACATCTTCTAAACATCTTACGTCACATTTTCCTGGTAACTGGGTTTTCCCCGAAAACTACAAAGACATATTCCAAAACAACAAAATTCTATGTAAACGCTTTCAAGCACTCATTTCGTGATGTCGAACGCACGGAATTCGGACGAAATTTGTGAAAATAATAACGACATTGTGCAACCGCCCGTACTAGATATTGTACTACCAAAGCGCAAAAATATTGGGACAGTGCGTGTAGGTTGGGAAAGTATCGAACCAGAGCTACCGGTCGATATTCTTCTGGTGACGGTGAAAGATCATGAATTTGTGAACTGTTACTATTATCTCAAAGATACGAAACGCTGTTGGTACCATGGTTCGGGAATGGTGGATTTTGGCACATTTGGCGATGGTGGGGTAAATAGAATGTTTTCTTAATCAGTTATAATATAGGGATGACTTGTTGATTATTCACATTTTAAAATATCGCTCTGTTTATTCAAGGTTAAAGTTGCATTAATAAGATGTGAGAAGGGCGGGATTGAGCCGCGCGCTTCGCTACTTGCTGTCAAAAATGCAGTGGAAATATTGAGACCCAAAGCTGTTATTTGTGTTGGGTATTGTGGCTCGGTAAAGCCTGAAAAAGCCAAACTAGGGCACGTTGTGATATCCGCCAAATTGGCAACTTATTCCAGTAAGAAAATCACGGAAGACGGAACCGAAGAATTGCGTGGAATTAAAGTGAACGCGAGTAGACACATAGGTGATCTCATTCCGTTTGCAGCTGACGCTTGGAATCCACCGTTGGCTGAAGAGTCGAGCGATTTCGAGGTTGAAGTTCATCGCGAAGATGTGATGTTAAGCGGCCCAGAGTTGGTCAATAATTCCAAAAGACGACAACAGTTACTGAGCCATTACCCAGACGCTATCGCCATTGAGATGGAAGGGGAAGGTATGTATATTGTCAATAATCGAGTTAGTCATTTTGAGAGTGAAATTAGGTGGCAGATCTTAGGGAAAAGGTCACTCTTTCAGCGTCATATAAAGCATTTCTGTCTATTGTTCTATTACTGATCCCTTGCTCATTACGCACATTTTTTGGATCAATTTGGTGGCACTGTGACATAAATCATCTACTATAAAACACAAAACAAACAATCCAGACAAACAAGCATGAATAACGCGATCTAAAATGGTAATAGTTCTAGGAACAACTCATGTCTGATATTTTCCTGAAAGTTCGTGTGACGTATGTAAACACAAATACGGATCATCTTTCAAGATTTAGTTATTACACGCGCGAGTCTGTGTATCTAAATACCTGTATCATTTTATTTGTGCTTGGATTACCAATCTACAAAGGCTAAGCATGCCGATAAATTTGGTAAATGAGCCGCAGTGAGGATTCTTGTAAAATTCATGAATAATTAATATAAGGCTACAAACAAATCACGACGCGGTATTTAGATCACATGTACACACTTGTAACTTGCAGTAAACACAAAACAATCTAGACAAATTAACAAGAATAACGCGCGATCTCATGTAAGTGCCCATAACTGCATAAAGATCAGCTGCTCATATTTTAACTGGTACTTAACTTTAGGTCTATATGCAGCTGCGTATGATCTTGGCATAGAATGGGCAGTTGTCAAGGGAGTGTCAGATTATGCAGATGGAAATAAATCAGCGACAGAAGATTGGCAGCCATTTGCCAGTGCAATGGCGGCATCTGTTGTCCACAACATGTTTAAATATCCTGATGTAATACGGCAATGGCCTCACTATAAAAAGCCTGTACAAGGGGCCGCGAGTACGGCAGGTAATTAATGTGTACTGCAAGAGCTTATTATTCTTCAATAATTTTAATGATATGAATGATATTTGGTAAGAAAAATGAATTCAAAGTTCATGTAAATCAACAGCGGATTTTCTATCGCGTACTGGCTTCTTCATGGTCACAATTTCCGTTATGTTTTGCTAAATGTGAATTACAAGTAGCTATACTGCTATGGATAGAATCAGATTGAGAATTTTATATGCAATTTATAATTGTCTATTTATATTCTTGTCTTGATAGTCACTCCTGCAGCGAATAACTCACCCATTCCATCTCTTCCCATTGAACAATTGCTTAGAAGCATTGCTGGCACAAAAGAAGGCAGAGTATGTATCAATGCAATTAAATTTCATCTTCTTCATTCCTTCCTAATTCCATCGTTCCATCCTTCCTTTCTTCCATCTATCATTCATTTCTTCTTTTGATCCTTTCTTTTCCTCTTTCACTCCCTCCTCTTCCTATACTTCCTTTCCTCCCTCCTTCTTCCTTCTTCCCTTCCAAGGCTTCCTCCATCTCCCCTCCCTCCCTCTTCCCACCTTCATTTCTAATGTCAACTTCTATTTTTAGAAAATGTATAATGGTCGCACGATCGAGTATTCTGTTTCAGGAAGAGTTCACTCCCTGAAAGAACCTTGGGTGTATGATGGAGCAGCCAGGGATGTTGCAACTGGAGAGGCTGTAGAGAAAAAGCATTTTAAAACGGCAGATTTGGCGATCAACGGAGCCATTGAAGAATTAGTAAAGAGACTCAAGGAACGCAAATTAATAAGAGATTAATCACACATACTGGATTACTTAATAGTAAATTTGCATGCAATATATGAAAAACTGAATGTTAATTATGTACTATACGACCACCATCATTGTGAAGAGGAAATTTTCTCGAGAAAGACAAGGCAGTAAAATGCGTTGTTGAAGCTCTCCTGGTGAAATTGTATGAAGAACTGAAATTGTTGACTAGGAGAACGAAAATTCCTTCTCAGCCTGAGCCTGGTAATTTTAATTATTCAAGTTTCTTTAGCTTTTTTAATAGAATTGTGGAAAGCACTATACCAGTTCCACAAACGGTAAATAATTCTCGTTTAAGCCTGTTAAGAAGGAGAGTTTCTTGTTTAATTAAAATAAGTATTAAAAGCAAAACAACAATCGTGTCTGAAATAAATTTCAGGTAAATGTCTGATAAGTTTGATTAAAAATTCAGGTAACAATCGTGTCTGAAATCGGGGAAGAATTAGCATTCAATCTAAGATTTGGTTAATTAATAGTGGTATAAGTTTAGCATCAGGGCTGATACTAAAATATTTGAGAGAATGAAAAATCTAATGTCCGGAAAAAATCTCTATATATAATGTCCGGAAAAAAGTTTTTTAAACAGTATATGAAAATTTTTTATCTTAATTAATATAAATAATTAATTGTGCAAGCAAAACACCGTTTCTAAATACCCGCCAAAACGCGCCAACAAATACGACAAGAACAAAGACAATACACAAGACAACAAAACATAGAAATTTAAACAAATAATTTAAAACTTTAAATTATTTGTCTGTTTGTTTGCTTTAAATTATTTGTCTATTAAGCCTGTTTGTTCAACCTTGTCCAACTTATTTTGTAACGGTAATTGGACTGAGTGGAGTGCAGCTGTCTGAAATTAAACGCGTGATTACAAAAAATTAAAAAATCCTATATTGTGGCTTAGTGAACAACCTGAAAATGGCCTCTGAAACATTGTTTTACCAAAATACTAAATTACAGGCCTGGGGTGTGCAAGTGTCAGTTCCGTAATGCAAGATTTGAAGGAATTATGATAAGATACATTCGTCATTTTGCTTTTCATCGTTATCACTTTGGTTCCACCATGTTGGATGCGGCTTTGCTTCTCTTTGTCTTCTTTCCTCTTCTTCTCTTTCTCTTTCCCGTCGTTCCCTTTCCTCTCTTTCCCTTTCCTGTCGCTCCCATTTATATCTTTCCTCTTTTTCACGTGCCTCTTTTTCCTTTTTTTTCTGTTTCTTCTTGCGCCTCTTCTCCTCTTCTTCCTTATCCTCTTCGTCCCATTGTTTTTCTAATTCCTTTTGTCGTTGTTTCTTCTCTTCTTTCCGTCTCTGCTTTTCGGCTGCACTCTGAAGAAACCGTAGGAAAAAGCATTAAAGTAGAATGCTACTCGAATGCAGCAGATTATGGGTTGAAGCAGATTATGAAGCAGATCATGGGTTAAAAACCAATCTGTTTTTAAAGTAGATAATAGCTAATATAAGGCTCTCCTTACCATTTTCAGATCTTCAGGTTAAATCACTTTTTTCTGTTTCTCAGATATATACCTTACAAACGTAGATAAAAAGTCGTTAATACATTGTTTATTAATTTGTTTATTGAGTTTCTCACTCATTGGTGAGCGGATTTCCCAACAGACTATATTGGCCAATTGATAGGGGATCCGAGGTCCATACGATTTAACGTCTTTATCCGAGAAGCCGAGAAGACGCGAAAGTCTAAGCATTTACTATTGTCAATGTAAAGGTAGCTCTTTCTCTTCAATTATTCTAAGACCTTGAGTAGAGGCACGACCAAAGATTGAACTCGGGTGTCCTAGTTTGAAAGGCAAGCGTGGTGACCATGACAACACAATTGCTAGTTATAAACATAGCATTAGTTCGATCTGTGAAATTTGAAAAGGCAACGAGTATAATGCTAAGGTTTTTTTGATCAATTCTACACACAATCAAAAACCTTGATACATGTTTTAAAGTTTAGACCCGCATAGAAGAACCAGTAGATTGAGAACCGCCACCATGAAATTTAGGCAATTAAGCAACCAACAGACAGGAACGAGGATGACACTAATGAGACTGGTTCATCTCAAACTCATTGATAATTCATAAGTAAATTAGCCAACCATATTGCTTTATTTTGCTCACATGATAATACTGGATACCTGGTGAAGTATATCGATCCAGACCTAGAACAGCAGGATCAAAATTAATTCAGTCCTTGGACCGGATCAAAATTAATTCATCTCACTTTAAGTGATTTATTCGTATGAGATGTCATTTCAAATCCTCCAATTTGGACTGGAAAATTCAGATTTGAAAAACCTTAACTTCTGTCCTTACGCCGCAGTGGAAAGTAAGTTTTAATGGCAAGCACACTCTAAAATTAATTTTCCTGATTATTTTAACCTGGTAAATTAACCAGATTATATTGGGTGGCTGAATAACAACGGCCCCCTGATTTCTACACTGAAATTACTGTATACAAAGGAATCATTTACACGAGTAAAAATAAGCCGCGGCTGAAATAAGCCCGGGGTTGAAAGCTAGGACTAAATAAGCTAAGGCTTATTGGAAATTGCCTGTTTATACGAGTTGTTCGCGACTTATTTAAGCCGCGGCTTATTTTCGCTCGTATAAATGGTTCTATAATTTTCCTGACCATGCACATGTTTTAGAAATAAGTAAAATTTCACATCGTCTATTTAATATATTTACCATAGACATGGATTAAAGCTATGATGATTAAAGCAGTTAGGAATGATTAAACTGTCTTACAATTATACATATCCCCAAACGTCATATATAATTAATTTTGCACTGCGCAGTTTTACTCTCACTTTCAGCCCCTTTAGTTCTTACCTATTTCGTCGACCAATCTTCGATCGTTCGCGTTTGTGTTCTGTACACTTTTTACAAAGCGTAAATAAAAAAAATGTTAATGTAAATAAAAACACAGAAAGTATCAAAGAGACATAAATAACCCGGAATAAATACGAAATTTCGACGGGTATATATGTTGAACAGACTACCAATAATTAAGAAAGCTTATCGGATTGATATAGGGATTCAACCACCTGAAAAATACAAGGAGAACTTCGACGTTTGAGAGAAGGCCCTTATTGGCCTTAATTCGTCTGGAAGAAGGCTCTTCGTTGGAAACCTCGAAATTCTCCGTCTCCGACGAAGGGCCTTCGCTCGAAACGTCGAAGTTCTCCTTGAATATTTCAGATAGTTGAATTCCTATATCAATCTGTAGCTTATATATCTTTCTTCACATTGCATTATTGGCACTACCTACAATGGCACGTACCAATAATTAAGATATTGGGAATGTATTGAGGCATATATAGAATATAGAGGACGGCATGAACAACAAATCATTGTCTTATAATACTTTTTGTTTGTGGAAACTTCACGTAAATTAAATTACTGCAAAGCTTTCGATCCGTAAGCCCGGATCTTCATCGGTGCTAATAGTAGTATTAGCACTGATGAAGATTCGGGCTTACGGCTTTGCAGTAATAAATTTACGTGGTGTTTCCACAAGCAAAAAGTATTATATGTTTTCTCGCCATGCAATCCTACAAAGAAAATATTGTCTTGTTCTAACCATAGTATGACTTGAATTTCAGTAGCTTAACGTCCCTACGTTCTACCATTTACAAGAGCTCTACTAAAGCTCGTTACTTTGTCACAGTCGAAATGCTAGCTTTGTATCGAAAAGGTGAAAGTTTGC